TCCTTCCTTGATCATATAGTGTTGTTGTTGTGTCCCATCAAGTCGCTTGCAACTCATAGTACAAGAGCCCTAAACATGCTCTATCCTGTGCCAATCTCACTGTCTCTTACACACCTACTCCCACTACCCCAATCACCAAATCAATCCATCTCATCAAGGGTCTTCCTCTCCTGCGCTGCCCCTCCACTCTCCCAAACATGATGCTCCTCTCCAAGTATTGGTCCCTCCTACAACATGCCCAAAGTATGTCAGACGAAGCTTCAGAATCCTTGACTCCAAGGAGCATTCTGGTTTCACCTTCTCCAGAACAAACCTGTTTGTTCTCCTAGCAGTCCATGGTATATTCAACACTCTTCTCCAGCACCACAGCTCAAAGACATCAATTCTCTATCACCCCTAGTCATTGTATTTCCTGAAATATTTCAGTGTTGGCTAGTTGTTTTTTGGTACAGTGATTCTCTGTATTCTTTCCATCTTCTTTTGATGCTTCCTGGATCATTCAAGATTTTGCCTATAGCATCTCTAAGAATTACTTGAAGTCTCCTAAATTACAAGACTTATCTGTCAATTTGCTGAATTGAGGGAATGGTCTGAATATTGCTAATTACTTTGTAAGTTAGGTATCTGTACTCTTGCTTATTTATCTTTGTTCTAATTAGTACAGCACTTATCTGTCATAGTCTAAGAAAGTTTCTTAAAGAATTTCCAAGCTTCTATAAAAACACACTAGGAACCACAAGCAATAGCAAGGTTTCTGCTCATACAAAGGCTTTTATCTTGCCATTTGCAAATGAAGATAACAATAAATATTTGTTAAATATTATCATTCAGCTAACTTTCAAATTCAGACTTGCTAGTAATTACTGTTTTAAATTAAAAGGAGATTTGAGGCCCAGTAAAGACCAATTATTTGGCATCTGAGGAGCTAGTAATAAGTAAGTCTCTTGTCTTCTTGTCCCCTCTTTTTCTGCTACACCTTGTTTCTTGACAAAGCACAAAAGGTGTGCTGATAGATACAGGACAGGTGAGAGAAGACCAGGATAGGACTTTTAAACACAGCAACTGGGTCCATCATGGCCTGTTTTACCAGTCATCCTGCCACTGTGGTGAAACAGTAGAGCCAGTAATTCTGAATGGCCTCTCTTGCGGCTGTTGATGATGAGCCTGGAGATGGTTCAGAAGTGAACCACTTGCTAAGAGAGGTATATTAGAAAAGCTGACCACCTGAGAAAGAGTGATTTGGAGATCTCTGCCTTGACAAATATGTTTGAATACTTCTTCTGTGCAGGGACCCTGCTGTGCCCTGGAGGATTTCATCATGAGCAAAACAGACATGGACTCTCAAGAAACACAGGAGCCTAGTGAGAGAATCAAACAAAGCCTTTTCCGTCGTACAGCCTGATGAGGAAGAAAACATTAAACAAGTACTCCAAGGCATTTATAATTACAAATGCGGGTAAATGCTTTGAAGGAAAATCCAGTATGCTTGGAAATGATGCAGCCAGAAGGCCGGATTTAGATTAGGGGGTTAGGTAAAAGCAAAGCAAAAGTGGGAGCAGGAAAGGCTTTTGCAAAAGTGAAGTGTTTTATATATGTGAGCAAAATAATAATGGTGATGATAATAATAAAATAACAAGAATAATAATAATAGTATCTGGAAGTGTGTTTCTCTCTCTTTCAAGGGTCACTTCTTTGAGCTCAGAGAATTGTCAAGGATGCTGAGACGTTCACAGATGCTAATATTTGAGCATTTTATGACCTGACTCCTTGCATTCTCATACGTGACTTGTTTGAATATGGAAGTAAATAGGGGATTAATGGGGGGTATGGAAGAGGTAAGATCTCTGACAGCACCATCCCCAGAACTAACATTTATGAAAGCTTAACCTGACTGAAACGAGAATTTTGATAGTGAGATGGGATGATAAGGGGCTTCCAGGAAAAAAGTAACTTCTAGGGAAAGAATATTAAAATCTGATTATAATAACAATAGCACTTATGGAAGTGGTGACTGTATTGTGAGCTGGGTACTGTTTTAGTGCTTTCATTAACTAGTTTCTCAAACCACCCATTTTAGGTGGTTATTGTGTCTCATCCAGTCGGAATCTACCCTTCCAGAGGATTTTCAGAACCAGTAAATCTCACAGGAGATGAACTCATTCCTTTAAAAAATAGAGGAAATTGAGGCACACGGATTAAGTAGTTGATAGCAGTTTTCCTTTTTGTTTGCCTCCAACAATTTGAAGTTAAAGTTTGTTTTCAAGTTCTAATCTTTAGGGGATCTAGACAGCAGTTCTTCCTCTGTGAACCTTCACTCAGACCAAAACCCTCAAACTCATTGTTGGCGACTCACAACTAACCCTTCAACGGGTTTTCTGAAAAAATGTATAAATCGCACGTGAGGCATTGTCCAACCCCCTCCCCCCACCCCCGTGGATTCAAATCACCAGAGGTGTAACTTTGGAGGAGCTACAGACTACACCTCGTGAACCATACCTCCTTCCATCATTGCCTGTCGGTCAGAACCGACTCATAGCTACCCTTCAGTGTGATTTCGCATCAGAGGCAATTATCTTTCTCCCCTCACAGTCGTTCACAGTGCCAATTCCCTGCAGACTAAGGCCACTGGAATTGTCCTCAATAATTTGGGAGAATGTCACTTTCAGCTTTCAAAAGACAAACTTGGGGACTTTATGGACACGCTCCTTCCCAGGCAGCATGGCCACCCAGTGAGGAGCACTTGTTGACAGTCCTGTGGGGGAACGGATCACAGTGGGGCTGGCCCCATTGCAGCCCGAAGCCAAAGCCTGGCAACTCCGCTTTATGCTTGGTCTCCGCGAGGTGTCGCCTTTGGCCGACGAAACCCGTGTGGCGCCACCCTGGTAGCCCAGTTATTTATTTTCAAGCAAGGGGGGCGCCTCTCGCCTTTTAATTGAAAACTAGAAACATCCTAGACGATTCCCAAATGGGCGCGTCCTCCCTTGCATTTTGCACTGAAGAGTCTACCTTTCCTTCGAGATCACACTCAAGGTACTTCCTCGGCAGAACATTGTTCCTTATTAGCCTCGCGCTCCGTTGTGTACAGTCAAGGCGGGGGACTGGGTTAGGAGTGCTGGCTCCTGCCGCCACCCCCTCTTCCAGATTTTTTTTTTCTAGTGCCAGGCACTTGCCAGGCCCTCAGGGTGGGTGTTGCACTGCACTGCACGGCATACAGCTGGTTTGTAGAGTGCACCCGGTGCAAGCCCGGGGGTCCAAAAGGGCGGGAGGAGCACACACCAGGCTTTCCAGCTTTGCAGCCTTCTCTGCAAAGAAGAAAAGCCAAGTGGCTTTTGGCGCGAAATCCTTGGCGCCTCCCCTGATTTTTATGGAAATCAAGGGGGCGGGGCGAATCCTCCTTTCTCTTTCTCCCACCCCCTTGTCTGCACTGCAGCCCCTTCTTTCCCCGCCTCCTGAGTGTGTCAGATTTTTCAGTTAATAATATCCCCCGAGCTTCAAAGCGTAGCCAGTGACAGTCATCTGTCTGGACGAGCTGGGTGGATGCGGGGGGCTCCTGGGAACTCGGTTGGAGCCGAGCTAGCGATAGCCTGGCGCAAGTGCGCACAGCCAGCCAGCCGAGGAATCCCCCATAGTGCAGCCGGAGACCCCCACGCAGTATCGCCACTGGATCCCGGGCAGGCAGTCAGCGGGAGGTAAGGAGCCGAGGTTGAAAACGCCTGGCATCCCGGGAGCCTCGAGCGCGGCGGGAAGGCAAACCCTGAACCGGATTATACCTAGCGCTCAGGGCGCCCAAATATGCCTAGGGGATTATGTTCGCTTCCGAAACAAAATGATCCCGGGGTGTCCCTGACGAACCAGTTCCAGCCTCAAAGGTACACCCGCTAGAAGGGACACACTCAATTTATTTATTTTTTTTCTAGAAGAGACCCACCCAATTTTTCCCTCCTAGTGCATGAAGGATCGGGTGGGGGGTTTATTTATAAAATTTTCATGCATTTTAATGCAAGGGCATGAGGGAGCTGGTATGTCTCCGCTCCAAAGCTGAGGTTCTCCAGAAGGTGTCCCCGGAGGAAGGAGAGGGGCTGAGGCTGGGCGAGGCCGTCGCGGTAGTAATCTGGGTCACGGCTGCTCCAGCTCTAAGACACGGCAATCATGTAAACTCTGGCATGATTCTCAAGAATTGGGGTTCACATCACCGTTAGAGGACATTTGAAAAAGTAGGGGTGGGGCTAGTGAGGTTCTAAATAAACCATAGGCATGAATATCTGGAGAGTGGGTGAATGCCAAAAGGCATCTGGCTCAAATTTGGGGGTGTGTGGTGGGTGAGTTTCGTTGATTTGAATGTCTTGTTGGTCTGTCTGGGAAGAGGGGGGAGCCTTTTCCATTTGAAAAGTTTCCTAAATCTACTATCATTTTGAACTCTGAGGTCACATTTTTTTCAAAGGCCAACTGGTGCAGTCCTTTAAGTGTTAACGCTAGGTAGCTGTTTTGGAGAGCCAATCTCTAAAGGCAGTTGAAAATGCACTGTGCAATTAGGGCTGGCATACAAGTTGAGAGGGCTAGGATTCTGCAGCTCTCAACAGTCCCCTCCCTCAGTCAGTGCCTTGTGTGAATGAAATGGCAGTTTCCAAAGTTGCAGAAACCCCAGCCAGCCCCGACTACATCTGCATGCTCCTCCCATATACCCCCTGGTGTAGACAGCTAGTATACAAAAGGGAGAGAGACACACACAGAACTTCCTCCACTTTCAGGAGCGCTGGGGCGGAGTAGGTGCTTTGGAGCGCAGATTGAAAGCCAGGTTAAGGTTTAAGGGGGAGCTTTCGTGCAGCCTGTCTCCCTTTCTGCTCAGCTTGCCAACCCCTCTCTTGGTGTATCTGTCCGTTGCAGCGTCGGAGGTTGGAGCCGGCCCCCTCCTTCCACGCCCTCCACGGGAAGGAAGTACCCCAGCATTAAAAGGAGCGCGGCAGAAAGAAACCCTCATTCGCCGACGAGGAGGCGAGCCAATGCCAAGCTGCACCGCTTTCACCATGCCTGGAATGATCTGTAAAAACCCGGACCTCGAGTTTGATTCACTGCAACCCTGCTTCTACCCTGATGAAGATGACTTCTACTTTAGTGGCCCCGACTCAAGCCCCCCGGGAGAGGACATCTGGAAGAAGTTTGAACTGTTACCCACACCTCCGCTGTCGCCCAGCCGTGCCTTCCCGGAACACAGCCCGGAGCCCCCGAATTGGGCTACCGAGATGCTGCTACCCGAGGCTGACCTTTGGGGGAACCCAGTCGAGGAGGATGCATTCGGCTTGGGGGGACTAGGCAGCCTCAACCCAAATCCTGTCATCCTCCAGGATTGCATGTGGAGCGGCTTTTCTGCCCGGGAGAAGCTAGAGCGCGCGGTGAGCGAGAAGCTACAGCACGGCCGCGGGGCGCCCGCTGCAGGGACCGCAGCCCCGGTCCCCGGAACCGGAGCCGGCACCTCTCCTAGCCGTGGGCACAGCGCGTCTGGGGCTACCGGCCGCACTGGGGCCACCCTGCCTGCCGAGCTTGCCCACCCAGCCGCCGAGTGCGTGGATCCCACTGTGGTCTTCCCCTTTCCAGTCAACAAACGGGATCCAGTGCCTGTACCTACCATCTCAACCGGTGCCCCTGTGGCGGGCGCTGCGGTCCCCTCCGGGCCGAGCGCTGCAGCCCCGGTCAGCGCCCCAGCTGCTGCTCCTCGCGCAGGCAGCCGTCCGGCCAGCAGCGGCGACCACAAGGCTCTCAGCACGTCTGGAGAGGACACCCTCAGCGACTCAGGTAAAGAGCGATTCCTTATTTTACATTACTTAGCTAGTGTCCGGCTGCTTCACGAATGCTGAAACAAGGGGTCATGGTCCTTTCGATAATTATCATGTTTTGGGCTTTGAGGAGTGTTTTCAAAGCAGTGATGAAGATTCCCTTTTCCTCCAAGCCCAGCCCCGGGTAGTGAGCGAGTGAACGGTCATTTCAGGGAGCTTTTACTCTAGGCTAACACTGGGCCGTATCGGGCCCCCAAAGTTCGTGATCAAAGCAGAGAGACGGTTCAGAGAATGCTAGATAAAATTCCTGGGCAGAAACCTGTTAAGGCAGAAATAGAAAAGGACTCAGCCAAGCCCTGGAGAGGAAAAAAGATCCTAATGACTGCTAAATTCTATCTAGGGTGTAGTAAGTTAGTGTGAGATTATGCAAATGCCTAATAAATGTTTTTATTTTTTCCAAACCCTCCTTCAAATCTGTCTGTCCTGCCTCTCCACCCCCACCCCCATGGCCCCAGGGCTAGTTGCTCCTGGTGTGTGGCCAGCAGGCGGCGACATGGAGAATAGAGTAGTTGAGAAACTGGGGGTGGGGGGCATCCATCACTCCCTCCTTTTAGCAGCTGGCGGCAAGCACAGCGGTTGTGTACACGCGTGTACACGCGAGGCCTTCCCTTAGCAGTTAACAGTGGAAACTAACTCCAGTTTAGTTTTTCCGGCCAGCATCTCAGGACTAATTTGAGATATGAGTGGTGGTCTGTAATCCATTGCCCTTCAAAGTAAGGGGCTGCATTTAGTAAACCCTTCAGGAATGCCCACAGAGCCTGAATTATTGTTATGTATGTGTCTTTTTAAAACTGAAGTGAAAAGGTTAAAATAAAAACTTTCCCCGGGCTCTGGAGGTAAAGAATTCTGCCCTAACTTTTGTGCTTGAAACAGGTAGCAGAGACCCACTGAAAACTTGAAGAAATACTGTTTACAAAGTCCAGAATAGGAATAGATAAGAAGCCCAAGTTTCCTTCAGCTTGGATCCATCTGATGCTCCTGGAAGGAAAACTTGGTGATAAGCCTCCAGTTTGAAAAGGCTCTCTGTCCCTTTAATGTCTGAGCCTTGACAGCTTTCGGTGAGGAAGCACTTCCTTCCAACAGCTGGCTTCTTGGCAGAAAACCAAAACATTGGCTTAAAGGGACCCACAGACTGGAACAGACTCACATTTCGGCTTTAGAACAAATCCAGCAATTGTTCAGCTTTCCGGTCTCCTTCAGATCAAGTAGAAGATGTGTTTTGATTTTCATGCTTGCATTTTAAACAATAATTTTCTATCTCAGCTTGATAGTGAATGAGGAGAGGGAGAACTGCACATGATGGTACATGTGTTTTGGTGCTGCTGTTCTTGTTGGTGACTTTCAGGAGAGGTGTTTCCATTGTTTTGGTTCATAGCTTAGGGCTTTGAAGTCAAAATTTGCTCTTTGTTACAAGAAAAAATTGTTGTTTTTTAGAATTTTTTTTCTTAATTAAATTTTTAAGTGGGAGGTTCCCCCCCATAAAAAAGATTTAGAAGTTGAACTCAGGCATGTGTAAATTTGTAAATATTCTTACGGGGAGCTAAAAATGGAAATGAGTTTACAAGATAAGCTGGCGATTGGGGTAAAACCTCCTATTTATTGTGCCTCTACCTCAGTCTTGTCCTGTGTATATTATCTGTCACACCCAAGCTGTGGTATTTATCTACTGAGTGTCTGTGAAAACTAAGGCTTACAAGTTGGGGAACTTGCCTTGGGGTGGTGCAACTGGTGTGTTTTTTAGACCCTGAAGCCCAGGTTCTTTATAACATAGCAAATGATGCCACCAGAGCTTCTTTTAATAAAAAACAAAACAAAAAAACCAATTTTGAGTAGGAATGGAAAGTATTGCAGAGCTCTGGAAAAGGAAAAAAAATATTTCCTGATAATCTCAAACTTCAGTATATTTCCGTTCATCGTGTTGATTGTTTCAGAGTTATAGCAGACTATATGCCAGGCCTTGCTGTATGAATAACTGTCTCTTTTTCTCAAAGATGATGACGACGACGAAGAGGAAGATGAAGAAGAAGAGATTGACGTGGTCACGGTGGAGAAGCGGCGTTCTTCCTCAAACAAGGCTGTCACCACCTTCACCATCACCGTGCGCCCCAAGAACGCAGCCTTGGGCACAGGGAGGGCTCAAGGGGGTGAGCTGATCCTCAAGCGATGTGTCCCCATCCACCAGCAACACAACTATGCCGCCCCGTCTCCCTACGTTGAGAGTGAAGATGCACCACCCCAGAAGAAGATTAAAAGCGAAGTGTCCCCTCGTCCCCTCAAGAGCGTTGTTCCTCCAAAGCCTAAGAGCTTGAGCCCCCGCAACTCTGACTCGGAGGACAGTGAGCGCCGCCGCAACCACAACATCCTGGAACGCCAGCGACGCAATGACCTGCGGTCCAGCTTCCTCACGCTTAGGGACCATGTGCCAGAGCTGGTGAAGAATGAGAAGGCTGCCAAGGTGGTCATTTTGAAAAAGGCCACAGAGTATGTCCACTCCCTTCAGGCAGAGGAACACCAGCTTTTGCTGGAAAAGGAAAAGTTGCAAGCAAGGCGGCAGCAGTTGCTAAAGAAAATGGACCACGCTCGGACTTGCTAAAACGTTTCTCAAAACTGGACAGTCACTGCCACTTTGCACATTTTGATTTTTTTTTTTTTTTAAAGAAACAAATATTGTGTTGACATTAAGAATGTTGGTTTACTTTCCAATCAGTCTCCTGTCAAGCTTGGATCTGGGTGGGGAGCAGGACGAGTGGGTGTTCTGCTGGGCTTTGGGATATGGGTCTGTCTGATGCTATCTATGCTGGGTGTCCCTCACTGCGTTTCTTCCACTTCACCTCTGAGAAGCTGTTCATGACAACTCGAGAGAGAGAGAGCCTTTGGGGCTGTTGAAGTCACCTTGTTCCAAGTTTCGAAACAACTGAAAGTCATTCCTTTTTTTAAAATGGTGCTTAAGTTCCAGCAGATGTCACTTAAGGGGTTTACCATTTGATACCCCTGGGGGAACATTTCTGTAAATACCATTGACACACTGCCTTTTGTACATGTCTTGGAGTAATGAGAGGTGGCTTTCACGGCCAGTATTAGACTGGAAGTTCATACCTAAGTACTGTAATACCTCAATGTTTGAGGAGCATGTTTTGTATACAAATATATTGTTAATCTCTGTTATGTACTGTACTAATTCTTACACTGCCTGTATACTTTAGTATGATGCTGATACATAACTAAATTTGATACTTATATTTTCGTATGAAAATGAGTTGTGAAAGTTTTGAGTAGATATTACTTTATCACTTTTTGAACTAAGAAACTTTTGTAAAGAAATTTACTATATATATATATATGCCTTTTTCCTAGCCTGTTTCTTCCTGTTAATGTATTTGTTCATGTTTGGTGCATAGAACTGGGTAAATGCAAAGTTCTGTGTTTAATTTCTTCAAAAATGTATATATTTAGTGCTGCATCTTATAGCACTTTGAAATACCTCATGTTTATGAAAATAAATAGCAATTAAATGATGCACTCAAGTTTTTATTCCATTAGTAGTATTAGTTAAACTTTACCCCTTCAGCAATAGCCATAAATTATGCATGACTTATAAAGTGGATTTGCCATTTTCACAGAGTATTTGTACATGTGAACAGTTCTATGTAAGGAGTATGGTGTTCTTAAGGTCCCCAAGGAAATTGGGCTTGGAGACATTAAGACAACTCTCCCAGATGACACAGAAAGGACATCATTACAGTTTAGAAGCACTTTCATGTGGACTGGCCAATTAATGGAATTGTGCTAGAGACCAGATACCAAAGGGAATTCTGGTAGCCTAGTGGTAAGAAGCTGTGTGCTGCAATTCTTAAACCTTGTGGTTCGAATCCACCAGCTGCTCTGTGGGAGTTACATGGGCAGTGACCTGTTAAATTAACTGCCTGTGAAAACATACCAGAGGGTCAGTTATGAGTTGGTTCTGACTCGAACGTACAGAACAATCAGATACCAAGTATTTAGAATGAGACAAAATCAAGTAAAGGCTCCATTTGAGGTTGTTGGCAGATGGGTTTATGTTTTAGTGATGAACATAATTTGTCTAATTTAGTTAATTCTTGGAAATACATTAGAGTCTCTGCAACATTCTATGCTAAGAAGTGAGATGTGCTTCTGCCCTGAAACTCATAATTTGATTCACAAAAATGTAATTCATGAAATGACAGGAACCCAGATTGAGTTCTGTCTTTCCCAGGGAGATGGGTGTTTGACCTATTAAAGCATGTCACTTTGTCCGTTTCTAACTCCTGTCAGGGAACAAATGTGTGACCCTGAAATTCCACTGCTATTGAGTCAATTCCAAGCAATCTTCCATTGGAGTTCTGAGACCGTTAATTCAGAGAGGACAGCCCACCTCTCTCCCACTGAGGGCTGGTGAATTCAAACTGTTAAACTTGGCTAGGAACTCCAGCTATCAGGCTGAATCGGACAGGATTCATTACACCTAACAACAAACCACCAGAGTTCCTTAATAGGTAGGTGGGGCATAGTGGTTATGTGCTGACGTAACCAATTCATAGATCACCCTCGCGCAGATTTTCCATCTGGAAATCGCACAGGAGCAGGTTGCCCATCTTTTTCAAGAGGAGCTGCTGTTGGATTCGAGCCTCCCACCTTGGGGTTGGTGGTGGGATGGTGGTGTAGCTATAAGCCACCCGAGCTCCCTCAGTAAGTAGAAGGAAGTCTTAATTCTGGGTGGGGTGACTCAACACATTTCCTAGTAAGACCCTGCTGCTTTGAAACCGACAACATATATTTTGAGTGAAAGGGTTTTTTTTTTTTTTTTTCTAGGCTAAGAAAGGCTTTACACAAGAAAATTGGGGTCCCCAGAGATACAGGGTCTGCTTGCCTGACCATGGCTTGTTAGGGGCAGAGGTGAGAGGACCTTGGCCATGTTGAATCCCACCACAGTGGACCCCATCTACTTAAGCCATTTTGTGATGATGAGCGTGGGGGAGGTTAGAACTCCAGATCTCTCAGCTGTTTTACAGCTCCTAGCCCCAGAGCTGTGAGGTAAGCTGATCCTATCTTTGTTAAGTCTATTCTGACCTCTCCCCTTAATTGAGCACCTGAGAGTCTTTAAAAAATAGTCAATAATCTTTTTCAATGACAATACTGGCTTCACTTTTTTAAAGGTCTGTCAATTTGCATCTTAAATCACTGCATCCTCTGCCCCTAGTTTGTGTATTCAGAGACTACAATGGGCTGTTTCTTTCGTAGTCAAATCTGACCCACAAGCCACCCTCTCTATCAAAGCAGAACTGCCCCATCCAGTTTTCAAGGCTGTAATCTTCAGGGAAACAGTCTGCTGTACCACCCCCCCACCAGCCAGGAAAGCCTTGTAGATTTAAAGCTTCAACTTTTGAGGTGTTTGACCATTATGCCATCAAACAACAATCCAAAAATCCAAACCCACTGTTCTGACTCAGAGTAACTCTCTGTAAACAGAAGGGCCCCATAGAGTTTCCAAGGCTATGATCTTTACAGAAACAGAGCAACTAATGGATTTGAACAGCTGACATTTTGGGTTACTCACAATGCCACCCAAAACCCAAACCAAACTCACTGCTGACGAGTCAGGTCCGATGCATGGCAATTCTCTGGGGTTTATGAGACTTTAAATCTTTATGGGACGAGATTGCCTGTCTTTCTCCTGTGAAACAGATGGGGGATTCAAATTGTCATGCTTTTCGTTAACAGCCTGATTCACTATGCCATCCATGCCAAGAGCCCCTTAAAAGAGTAAGTGCCTTCAGATGAATTGAGCACCTGTGATTCTTTAGACCCAACTCAGCCATTCCAATTTCTTTATCTGAGGGAGTCTCCATTACAAGATATAGAAGAGGAAAACTGGAGACAAACGGGATACCGCCCCCCCCCCCCGAAGCTACAATGTCCTATTTTTGCTTAGGCTGCTGAGATGTTCAGAGTCAAATTCCATTCGCTCATTCTGTACATCTGGCACCATTCTTTTTCTTTCCTTGCTCCATGTTTTTTATTTCTTGTTTCATTGTTGGCTTAACTACCTTTTAAATGTTCTTTATCTTCTGTTACATTAAGTGACTTTTAGAATTAGTTAGGTCATATGTAAAAATGGACTTCAAACACTAAAATAAGGTAGAAAATAATGCATTTGCCTTTTCTGACTCACCTGAGGGAAGGCATCACTGAGATGGAATTCTGTAACTATTTAAAAAGTAATTGCTCTAGTTGGGGAATTGAACTTGTAAATGCAGTAACATGAGAACTCATCTATGAATCCCAAGAACCATTTTGAGACTGTGTGGGAAATAGTGCTAAATCAATAAATCATGAAACTTAGATGGAACACAGAATTTATCTCATTGAATTACTTCTTTTTACTGAATGCGGGTGAGAGCATCCCCATATCAAATTAATGGTAGAACCAGGACTACAGTTTGGGTCTCCTGATAATCAATGCAGTATTCTTTACATGGCATTGTCTTAATTCCTTTTTACATAGTAGCCTTTGAGCCTTACCTTAACTTACCCTCACTTGTCCAACTGCATCATACTTATTTGCTAAAAAGTAAATTAATTAATTAAAAAATTCAAACTCACTGTCGTTGAGTCGATTCTCACTCATAGCAACCTTCCATCAGGAGTCTCTGCTGCAAATTGCAGTGGGAAGAGATTGCCTGTCTTCCTCTCTTGGAGCTACTGGTATATCCAATTGAAAGTCCTAGAAACAGAAGTGGCACAACTTGGTGTGGACTACACACCCAGAGCTCCCCTCCATGTTAGCTGCCACCAAGTCAGCCGAGAAGAGTGGTGATCCCTAGTCACGGGGAATTTATGTAAGATTGATTGAGATGCTGCCTGGTCCTGTGCCATCGGCATGACTGCTTATGGATCTGACTTTTGTGGTCCGTAAGAGTTTGATTCGCAGATTTTTTAGAAGTAGATGATCAGGCTTCCCCAAATCCGGTACCTAGCCTGGCTCCACTCTTGATCAATCAGCTTGATCACCCACTGTCCCTTCATAGTCACTCTTCTTTCCAACCATGGAGATCTTTCCAATTTCTTACTTGTTTCACCACATTCCTTCCTCCTGGATGATCTAGTTCCTGTTTCTCAAAATCATCCTCAATCTTGAACAGTGAGTTCATCATAGTCAGCTCTTTCAGGAAGCCTTCTCCACAGACCTAAGGAAGATTTTGAGCTTTACCAACTCCTGGTGAAGCTTTCCTAATCACCTCCTCTTGACTGTTGCTGTGAGGTGCTGTCATGTTGTGATCCTGTCAACTACAGATATGAATCTTGCTCTATCCTGTGGCATCCTCGAAGTCTCCTCTAAAGATACAAATTAGACCTCATTCATCTCTGATTCTTTAGCCCCTGGCCTGGTTCCTGATAGATGACAGGGTTTCCACAACAATTTTCAGAATGGATCAGCAGCTGAGTAGGCAGCAAAGAAGAGAGGTAAGGACAGGTGGAGCAATTTTCCATTACTTGTCCGGCCAACCCAGATTCACAGGCTCTCAGGCTAATACAAATGGGAAGCACATTCACTAGGGAGCAGTGAATGTCTAG